TATCATTTCTTTTCCGTAGGGCGTAATGTTTACCCATTTCAGACCATGTGTCATTCCCTTTAGTATCATTTCTTTTCCGTAGGGCGTAATGTTTAACGATTTGAGATGACATTCCTTTGAGTATTATGTCGTTGTCTAGCGATCAAACCGGAGGGGGTATATCAATAGAACTCGAAAAATCTCACTTCCCAGGAATAAAATGTGGTATTAAGTGGATCAAGACATTATATGGACTCCCTGACCTTCATCTAGACAAGCTGGCTTTCCACCCCAGACAGCAAACACGAAGAAAATGTCCTAAACATGTAATGGATATAATTAATATTATAGTAATACTACAATGACTATAAGCAATATAAACGACAGTAAAGTAAATGGATTAATGAATGATCACGCAAATATCTTGCATTAGTGTGGATCCATCAGTCAAATATTCATTTCTCTTTTAAATGTCATTGCAAAAGCAGGCTTAGGCTAGTGAGCCTGTATCGATAGTATATGTATATGTCCACTTTACTCCGCCCAACACGTTAAGAAAATGACAAGGGGGGAATTCATCGTACGCCGTTACTTCTCCCACCATATTAGTATTTCATTTCAATTATTATTCTCTTGACATTTTCTATTTTACTTCTAAAAGATGATGTCTAAAAGGTATGGCTTAGAGAAAAGATTTAATACGCCCAATAACGAAATAGATAACTTTATCTAGTAAAAAAACCTTAAGACTTCCATCTTCGAATCGTAATATGTTTTTGTTTTTTTTTTTTTGTATTTTTCTCGCCCTACAGAACTCTTAGTTTCACAACATCTTCTGTTTACAATAATAAAATGCGGCCTAACACATTTTTAATACTTAAGGCTATGTCTCTGCAATATTAAAATGAAGGCTACCAAAGGATGATTTTATGACTGAGTGTCTGAAGACTTAATGTATCGATATATCACTTTCATTTAGGTGAGAGATTGATAGTAAGTCTGTTATTAACTCTCACTAAAAGGTGGTTTGTAATCAATCCGAAGAAAATGAAGACACGACCGCCATGTTGGTTGATACTGAACCATCTACAATGCGTGACAACCCCGTGGCTTATAAATTCAAAACACATCGAGTTTGACAGTCATAGAAGTTCACTGATTGATGGACCCTAATTGGATTCTAGAACTGTTAATTTTGCATAGGGAGGAAAATCAAAAAAAACAAAAGAAAAACACTTGTGTCAAGCGCTCATAACGTATAATATCATTTTCTGCCTCTTTTCTAATTATATCAAGACGATATCATAACAGTATTTATACGTTCATCTAGAGACAAAAATTTGCGCTCTTTCCAACAAACTGAAGCTTTTCAATGTAAGCTCAGTTAACATCCAATAAGACAGGACGTAGATATTTGCTTCAGTGTTGCTTGCTTCAAAAGAAAGGTCTTAAGCAGACGTTTGAACTCCTTAAGATCAAGCGTACTGCGCAGGCGCACTGGCAGGGAGTTCCAAATAGCCGCTACAGCAAACGCGCGACGTTTATCTGTTGTAACTTGTGTTAAAATAACTCAATTTCGAAGTAGTAGTAGTATAGGCAAGCAACATATTTGGATCCACAATAAAGACTTGTTTTAGATTGGTCCTACTTCCGCCAATTATTTGTCAATATTGTCCAATGTAGAGCTTTTATTCGATTATAATATGTACACTTAGTTCCAACTAAAAGCTCGTGATATTGAATGGGCCAACACTTGCGGCTCACAACAAGAATATAAACATAGACTTTGATTGGAATTGAACCACCTTTTATTTCAATTGGTAGTAATCTAGATTGTTATTTATTTCTTATTTGCGTCGATAATCCTTCAATTAGGAGAGGAAMATTTTGAAATCTTTAAACTACAGATTGGGTGAGATTTGAGTGTTGGCGCACAACGATGTCACTTTATTTCTCTCTCTTTATTCGTTCAATTAACTGATCTTCTCTATTCATATCACATAAGTATTCGCTCACTGTACATCGATGTCAATATCAATAAAGAGATCTAAATGACCGAAAAAGCGTCTAATATTAGTAAATGATATCAAGAAAGAGAAAAGGTCTTAAAGACTGGCTGGCTCGCGCATTCAGGCGGCTAATGTTCACACCTCAAATTATAAATCTTTCTTTAAAGCAATTTTCAATTTTATTTTTGTATTCAAGWACTCTTTGCTATTATCTTTCTTGTCCTTCCTGTCCAAAAAGTATGATTAACACAATCTGACATACTAAATCACTTGTGTAAATGCCTTTATAGTGGTCTTGCGCAAGCACTGAAAAGCTTACAGTTTCTCTACTTTATCAGTATTCTATACACAAGCCATAAAATAATATACAGACAAGCTCCAAGATAAAAACTTGAGCAATACGTTATTGAAATTTTGAGCTAGAGTTTGCTACGGCATCCATGATGGGCGTGGTATATTTGCCAAACAACCCGATTCTCAAGCCCCATCAACCTTATACCTAGCTCGAGTGATTTGTGTTCACCTGAGACGTCTTTCGTTCATAATCGTTTTCTAATCCTTTAAAAATATTGGATATGATTAACAGATGATATTCATATCATATTAGTTCTATTCTATAACTGTGAAAGATGCTTATTGATAACAGACAATCCTAAAAACACCAACCTAGGTGCGAGAAGTCGAGTCTCCATGATAATCGACTGAATTCAAATTCATCTTCAAATCCTTTTATCTTTTTGTTTTGCCTTCGCCTCGTTTTTTAAGATAATTGTATATATTATTATTAGTTCCATCAACACAACGGTTTCCAGAAGAAATAAAAAAAACATTTATTTCCTTTCTCGTCGTTCTTAATTTGACTCCTTTAATATGAAACAGAAAATCCGTAAAAAAGATAGCGGTTCCTTAAATCAGAGATTATTAAGCGAGCAGATCGAAATCTCGCATGAAGCTTCCAGGTTCAAACGCACAAAAAGTTCAATTATTTTTATTTTATTTCAATAACTGATAAGCTTCTAAAGCAGGATATATCTTTCCTAAAGATACAAGTAGACTATGCCAATGGTCTATCTACTATTGAATAATATAAATATAGTAGAAAAATATAACTGATTTATCCCACAGTCCTCAGACGATAATTGATTTGTTTTTGCATCCCAGCCCAGTCGGGGACATTGATTAAGTTTTTGTTAGTACCATTATTATTAACCGATTCCTATCTATGAATCTTATGCACGGCTCAAGAGACAATAAACCGTTTTAGTGGCAGTTTCTTAGATTTAATTTTGATATTTTTTTACGAAGTGCGAGCGGAAAATCTCTATTTTACTTTCAATGTGGCATTATTTCAAATCCTAGTACAAATCGCTCTTCACTCGTTCGAGTGGCGGTTTTCTTTTACTGACAAGATGATTTACTGCGCGCAGTGTTTTTTGTTTCTACAAGACTATTTACATTAGCTCTGATAATCATCCAAGCACTTAAACATGTTTTGCGATGTCTTTTTTAGGCTTAAAAAATCAATTAGTTTCAATACGTTGAATGGTTGCTAATTGGTAGGGAGCCATTTTCGTGGCGAGGATGTCTTTTTAGCCGCATTTGTGTATCTAAAACACAGTATGTGGTCCAGGAAAAGTATATTAGTCTAAGCCCATTTTTTTTTCAGGGAGCAACAGATAGGAAACGAAATCACTAGAAAATGACTGATCGGTTTTAAGAGGACATCAAAAATGCATGCTGATTCGCATCAAAAGAAAATAACCAGCTTAATTTGTCAATCACGATTTTCTCATTTCGGTGTTTCATTTTCATAACCAATATCTTTTTAAAAACAACGAAAGGAAGCAATAAGATAAAACATTTGTTCTGCCAATAATTTAACGCGACATCATATCGTTTCATTTAATGGGTAAAATATTTTGGCCTTTAAAGAGAAAAAGTCCAATATATGCGGCAGAATCAAAAAAAAGGCTGAGTAATTGATCAATTGTTGATAGATGTATTGGGGCAATACTCGCTCTTAAGTCTTGTTAAACTGAGTGTATATCAGATGTAATGCTTACCTAATCCTAGAGTCGAAAGTAGAAATTATTTAAATAAAACAAGAAAGATTATTTTATGATGAGATCTCGGCTACCGGGCTTTCAAAGAAAGGTCTACGACTTTCTCTTACTGTGGACTCTACTTTTACATCAGTCATGCTTGTACAAAGCCAACCATTTGTCCCTATATTAGCCTAGTTCTTAAATTATTGAATGACATTTGCGTCTAAGATTACAGTCCGATATCAAGTAATACCATTTATTTTCATAAAGTAGTTCAGTTTTTAATGGAAGTAAAAAGCTAGTTGGTGCAAGAAATAAATGGACTAGCCTCTGTTTCCCATTGATATAAAAATAGGAAGCTAATGTTTATTAAAGTCGATGTATGACCGTTTATATTTGCAGTTCAGCAATTAATTACTTTCCATAGATGTAATTACATTACGAGTGAACGAAAAACATTATCAATGAAGGCGCAGCTGGAGCTTATGCAAATAAACAAAATACAGTCTGAATATTTTTCGTTCGTAAAACAGATGCTTTGTAGTTCGGTCGTACGATTTAGGACTGAAATTTCCTACTCAAAATAGAAAATGAAACTGAAGATAAATGCGAAAAGCTGTTGCGACCGTTTTGAGAAGTACATGTATAGTTGTAAAATATACAATTGAATTGTTAAAACAACAAAGGCGTAACTGTATAATCAGGAATGATTCACCTGAGTTTGTACTAGTGTTAAAATAAATGTTCGTTCTAACGCGAACAAACACACCTGTAAAATAAGTAACATTTCTCGTAAAAAATGAAATAAATAAAAAGAAACGAGAAAAAGAGTTTTCCAGCCAACGAGAATTTTCATTGGATATATATAAGATTTTAAATATGTTAAATCCTTAGAGAGAAAATCTTTCTAAAGGGATTGTAGGATAATCTGATAGGCCTCTTGCATTTGATACTGTCTTTGCTGATATCATGACAAAAAGATTGACACAGTCGGATAAATTAAAAATGCAAGGGAGAAAAATACTAGAGTTATACGAGAGTTATGGAGAAACTGATTCATTGCGGTGATAGATAAAGAGATTATCACCACCCACCTAGTTGAGAAAAGTTAAAGATTGTTGAAGTTTGTTTTCGTATCTTATCATTTTTAATGCATTATCGGTGTATATTTATTTTTAATAAAAAGATAAAGGTTTTGAATATACAAGGATTTATTTAGAATCATAAATATGTATGTATACTTTCAAGCAATTATGTTTAAAGGCATTAATATATATATATACACACACATTGATATTTATTTATTTATAACAATATCTATATCTATAATTATTTGTTCCAGTGTATGTCTTGTTAAGCAATTATTTTATTATTTTATTTTTTATAGTTTATAATCTAATTTATTATTATTATTTTTTTAATGATGCAATTAGCTAAATATTTAAATCCCCATATAAATGTTTGCCATTATTATATATATTTTTAAACATATATTATTAGGATTAGTTTTCTTTTAATAAATA